AAGACCAAACCTGAAGGCCGCGCGTTTTGTGTGTGTTTTTTTATTAAAAGGAGAAAGGGCACACTGCCTCCTTCTCAAAGAGCCATTCAACCACTTCCTCGGATACGGTCAAATGCAGACATCACAGGCTGTGTCCCTTGCATGCTATTTATTTATTTAAACCATTTTTTACTCTGCTGTCCTTCCTAAAAAGGAGCCAAAGCAGCCTACTGCATTGAATAACTTTTTTGGGGGGTGGCACAACTATTTGTACAGTTTTGGTTTATAGCCACATAAGTCCACCCACAACGTGAAACACGTTCGTGCGATCAGAGAAGGGCCCAAACAGGGAAAAAAAAAACACGGGTGGTTTGTGATGGTTCCTGGATACCTACAAACCGCAAACTACCACAACTGCCCCCCCCCAAAAAACAAACCGGTTGTTTGCGGTTCGTTTTCCAGGGTTGTGCCAGGAAGGGGGGGGGCTGTAGCCTCTCAGGATGCCAGTGGCTTGAAGACATCATCATTTCATTTTCGCAAAATCGGTTGCATGAACCAAACCACGAACCAGCCCAGTCCGTGTTTTTCCCCCCCTGGTTCGTAGTTCAATTCATGCCCATCTCTACATGTGACGTGTACGTATATACAGCTGCATCTTCCTGTCTATTCTCTCTCTCTCTCTCTCTCTCGATACAGCTGCATCTTTCTGTCTATTCTCTCTCTCTCTCTTTCACACAAACGCACAAACAAATGAGAGAGGAAGAGAGAGAGAGAAGAAAGAAAGGAAAATAGATAGAAAGATAAATAAGCCAAGCCAATAGACAGGATCCTTTGAACGCCTTCAACACCCAACTTGAGGAAGAGTCTGATTCTGGAAAAATGAGGGGCCAGATGTTCGGGGTGAAGCGATTTTTCACCCAGAACGACCGCTCCGGAGAAGGCGGCAGGCCCTTAGCGATGCTGTCCGGGGTTCAAAGCCAGCGGAAGGGGAAGGGGCCAGCCCATGAGGCTCCCCCATCCGTCGGACTCCCTCTCCCCCAGGACGCCTGCCTAGGTCTGGATCCCCAGGAGAAGAGGGACCGTGTGGGTCAAACTTACTCTTGACTGCTTCGATTTTGTAGGGAATGTCCAGGTTCCCGAGGGAGGCCAGGGCGCTCAGGAACGCGGCGACGTCGTTGGCGCTCTGGAAACACTGGGAGGAGGACTGGATGCATTGGCGGTTGTCGATTTCCAGGTGAACCACGGACCTGTGGTGGGGAGGAGAACGAGAGGGGGGATGATCCCACGCCATCCCGTGGCCCGGAGGGTGGCAAGACCTCCACCGCCTTTCACCCCGGAGAAGCGGCCGCTCCTCAAAAAAGACGGCTATGGCCGTCCGTCTCACCCGCAAGGGGCGATCTCCTCCAGCTCTCTCTTCTGCCTCCCGCTGACCCTCGAGTAGAGAGACGCCTTGACTCTCAGGACGGCCCCCGTCACGTCGGGCCAGCTCTCGGCCGACCGCTTGATGTGGTGCTTCTTCAGCTCCTCCGGGTTCCCGTAGTACGGGAAGATCATGTACGCGCCGCTGTCGTCCTTCTTGAAGACCACGTTGGTGTGGAGGACGCGGCTGAGCTCCCGCAGGAAGTTCAACGAGTTGTTCCTCAGGATCTCCGGGGCGGTCAAGACGACCACCACCAGGGTCCCGTCGGCCAGCTTCTCGGGCACGTGGTTGGCGCAGTCCAGCCCGTCCCACTCGCACTCGGCGTTGTTGCAGCCCTGGTCGCAGTGGCCGTCGGAGAAGTGGTCCTTACAGTACTGGTCGTACAGAGGACTAGGCGGAGAGGGAGGAGGAAGAAAAGAAAGCAGTCAGGTCACTGGGCATGATCAACGCCCCACGGCCTTCCCACGCCCCAGAAGGAGGGCAGGCGGAATAATAAAAAAATTCTGCTTGGCCATCATGGGCTCCAGCGACAGGATGCCAGATTTTGGCGGAAAAACCTCTCAACTGTTAGAGCAGTATGACAACAGGACCCATGACCTCGGGAGGTGGTGGTGAGCCCCCCAACGCTGGAGGCCTTCAAGAGAAAATTGGACCAGATCTGCTTGGACTGGGATTCCTGCTCTGAACAGGAGGTTGGACTTGATGGCCTTAAATGCCAACGTTATTCTAGGATTCTAGGGTGACGGTGAGTTCCCAAGGTGGAAACTAAACCCTCTATTTCTCAGTCACCGAGAAGGGCAGAATTTCCCAGAATTTCCAGCCTGGTCAAGACCAAGAGGAGAGGCCCTCGGTCCTCGAATCAGTGGCCTGCAGACCTAAGACGATCCTCTGGCAGACGGCTAGCGAGGCAGGTGACATCACTCCCCCCCACAACTGCTGCCCGCTATGCAGGTTCAAGACCTGATGGCCGCTGCTCGCCGCAGGGTCAAGAAGGGAGGGTGGTAGTGGACGGACAGAAGGACAGAAGCATTGGGGGGGAGGACCGTGCGGGCGTGAAGTTGCGCCCCTTTTTTCAGAGGCACCCCCTGCTTCCTCCCACAACCCTCTTTTTAACCATGCCGACGGATCAACCACACCACAAATTAGCCCAAAATAAACATTTAAACCAAGAAAACGATTTTTCCAGAGCGCAGCGATATCGTCTCCCGCCCCTTCCTTTTGGGACAACAACAACAACCGCCCCCCCCAAAATAAACCGAGGAGGGGGAGGGTGTCAGGGACTCACTTGCACTGCCCCTCCACCTTCTGGCAGTCGAAGCCATCGTACAGGCACCCGGTGTTGTTGCACTGGGGGTCGCACTTGCCGTCGTTGAAGTACTTCCAGCACTGGAGGGACTGGGAGCAGTTCTTCCAAGGGTCGTTGAAGTTGAGCGAGCAGTCGCCCCCGTCCCAGTTGCAGGCGTGGTTGTTGCACTTGGCGTCGCAGATCTTGTTGCCCGCCTGGCTGGGGCAGCCGGGGATCTCGCACTCCTCCTCAAAAGGGGGCGGCGTGATGTCCTGCCCGACGCCCCCCCGGAAGTCGTAGTCCAGGATGTGGCAGTTGAGCCCGTTGAAGTTGACGGGGCAGTGGCAGCGGTAGTGGGGGGCCTCCTTGGCGAACTGGCAGGTGCCCCCGTTGTAGCAGGGGCCCGAGTGGCAGGGGCTGTTGGAGGGGAATTGGCACTCGGGGCCCGTGAAGCCCGGGGCGCACAGGCATTTGGTACCCTTTGGGCCCGAGGCACAGGTGCCCCCGTTCAGGCAGCGCAGGTTCCCGCAACTGCGCAGGTCATTCTCACAGGTGGCCCCGTCCAGACCCTGGAAGGGAAAGGAAGGACGCTCACAATCTGTACAGACATACAGACACACACACTCGGCAACAGGAAGAGCCGGAGTGTTGTATAAGCCTTGTGGCACAGGCGTCCAACTGCAACGCTGCAGTCGAGTCTCTGCTCGTGACCCAAGTTTTATTTCATCAGGATCAGGTCGCCGGCTGAAGGTTCACTCAGCCTTCCGTCCTCCCAAGATGGGTAAATGAAGCCTCCGCCTTGGTGGGAGCAATCGGTAGCAGGCATACCCGTATTTTTCCATGTATAAGACACCCCCATGTATAAGATGCCCCCCCCACTTTTCTAACCCAAAATTAAAATAAGTGGGGCTCTCCTCTCCCACCAAGCCCATGGCACACACCGGCGGGCATCGGCAGATGTAGCCGTGCTGGGTGTTGCTGGCCACCGCGCAGCTCCCGCCGTTCCTGCAGGGCTTGTTCCGACAGCCGTCCACCACCGTCTCGCAGTGCCGCCCTGGAAAGAGGGAGAAAGGTTGTCAGCGCACGTCAGCCTCCTCGGGGACAGCCCCGCGGCCTTTTTCTGCACCACGCCAGCCGGAGCACCGAGCCTGAAACGGTTCAGCCCCATCCAGCACCCAACTCGCCAGAGATAACGCAACGGATA